TGAATGAGGGTCGCTGTGCAGCAGCCGCCGCGCAGGCCCACGCGCGGGAGGCGACTCCGCTGGTCCCTCGCGCCCAGGTTGGGCCACTGCTGGGCGGCCGGGTGGAGGGGTCTGGGGACCGATGGGCGGCCAGGTCTGCATCTGCGACCCAGGCCTCTCTGCAGGGGGAGTGCTGGGAGGGGCTGCGCACACCACCCAAGGGCTCGCCCCTGCTGAGAATATCCTACACCGGTTCCCCTCCCAACGGGGCGGAGGCAGGACAGTGGGGTGCAAGGACTGCCCCAGGGTTCCTAGCCCCCACCTTCAGGCTTCCTGGCCGCTGGGGACAGGCCTGCTCGCTCCCAGGGCACCCCTGGCTGCCTAGGTTGGCTGGGCCAGCGGACATTCACGTTCACTCAGGGTGACAGGCTGGGGACACCTCTGCTGCTGGGGCTCCCCTGGAGATACCCTGCTGGCCCAGGACAGAGCAGGGCCCAGCATGGGCCCAGTGCCCAAGGATCTGGAGAACTCTATGCCTTCACTTTGCACTTGGTCACCATTGCTCACACCTGTCCTCCCCCCAACGTGCACCCGTGGGACTTTGGAACCCATCTGCTGCACATATTTAATTTTTACCCAAGTGCTAGTTAAGTTTATTTTTTTGCTACCAGTTGTGACCTTTGGATGGGAGGGAAGGTGGGGGTGGAGGTGGATCCTTGCTGTGCACTTGCCTGTCCTGCTGGGCCCCAGAGCAGGAAGACCACCCCTGCACAGCGGGGCCAGGGAGGGCGAACAAATGCGAGGCGCAGGAGGCTGCTGCGCTTGGTGGGTGGACTTTGAAGGCCAGGCCCAGGTTCTGCCTTGCTGGGGAACAGCGAGGGGTAGGGGAGGGAAGGACCTGGAAGAGAGGTGTTGACCTGTCCAGATCCTCGCTGGCCAGGCTGTGGTGAGGGGTGGAGAGAGACAAGGGCTGTTCAGGGCCTGGTGCATGGTCCATGGTGACTCCTCAGCCCCTCCTCCACTGTCACAGGACAGACCTGGCTGCCACACTGCAGGCCCTCTAGCTTTTTCCCACCTTCACCTCTCAGAGCTGTGGGTAGACTGGGCATGTCCTCAAAGGAAGCCCCCAGACCCCCTGCCAACCCACCTGCCTGTGCTCTTCTCAAGGCAAAGCCCTGACCTGGGCCACCTCCTGCTTACCTGCCCCACTGCCTTTGCCGGGGCCTAACTGGGGACCACCAGCATCCTCCCAGCCCCAAAACCAGGTCCACCCTCGGGTGTCCCCCTTGCACGGGCAAGTCTGAGACTCACCTTAGTGCCGGCGTATCCCTGCAGCTCTGCTGCCACGATGCTCAAGCTGAAATCTGAGGCTGTGCTGGACCCCGCCCCCCTAGCTCACCTGAGTCCATCAGCAGATCCCTCTGCCTCCTCAACCCATCCTCTCAGCCCCTCCCTGTCTGGACACCACACCTCCCCCTGGGGGACCATCTTCTGGCTCCAGTTGGCCACCAGAAGGACCCTTTCAAAACATCACGGCAAAGGCAAGGCTGAGAGGACAGTCCAAACATGTGCTTGTCAGGGGCTCGGGGTGGAGGGAGGGGCGAGCAGGGGAGGATTTTAGGGCAGTGAAACTACTCCGTATGACGCCCTAAGATGTCATTAGACATCTTTCCAAACCTACAGAACGCAGACTGACCCTAATGTACGCTACGCACTCTGGGTGACAATGACATGTCACTGTAGTTTCATCAGTCATCACAAATGTCCCACTCTGGTGGGGATGTTGGTAATGGGGAGGCTGTGCAGGGGGCAGGGATGGGAGACTTCTATACCTCCCTCTCAATTTTGAGGTAAACCTAAAACTGCCGTTAAAATTGGTCTTAGGGCCCTGGCCGATGTGGTTCGGTGGTTAGAGCATCGGCCCATGCACCAAAGGGTTGAGGGTTTCGATTCCCAGTCAAGGGCACATACCTGGGTTGCAGGCCTGCGCCCCACCCCCAGTAGGGGTGCATGCAGGAGGCAACCAGCCCGTGTGTCTCTCACATTGATGTTTGCCTCTCCCTCCCTCACTGCCTTCCACTCTCTCTGAAAAGCAATGGGAAAAAGAAACTTGTCTTAAAAACAAGCAAACGCAAAAAGTCATGGCACTGCTCTGCTTGGATCTCTGATAGGGCTCCCCATTTCACCCTGAGTCAGGTCCCTCCTCACTGTGGTCACAAGACCCCATGTGACCTCATCTCTCACACTCACACCCTTGTTCTGCCCCCAGTCCGCTCGTTACCTCTCTGCCACTCAGTTACCACACGCTCATGCCTGCCGCAGGACCTCTGCACGTGTTGTCCCATCAGTTCCCCAGGGACTCTTATTGCTGGCTTGTCCCATCACTTGGGAGGTCCTGGATATTACCTTGGAGAGGCCTCCCCCACCTGACCCTTTGCTCTGTATCACATCCCCTTCCCAGCACCTTTGAGTTGAGTAATTGCCTGACGATGCCCATTCCCTCTCAGAGCACGAGCCCGGAGGGAAGTAGGCCCGTCTGGGACGAGTGCAGGGAGGGCAGGCTGCCTTCCTCTGTCCTGTCTGCCCATGTTGCCTCTTGGACTGTGGGAGGAGGGATAGGGGCCCTGGCCTCCACTGAGCACAGAGAAGCAGAGCCTGCCAGGCTCTTGTCCCACAGCCCCTGCTCTAGGTCAGCTGTCTGCAGGACGCCTGTTCTCCCTGCCGCCATCCTGTTGCTCGCCCCACCCCTGAGCCCCTAGCTATTCAGAGCCTCTGACAGCTTTGGGGTGGGGGTTCCAGGACAGGCACTAGTCTAGTTCATACCAGGCTGTGAGTGATAGGCTTCCGTGGTTGGTCTTTCCCAAGGGGAAGGGCCCATGAGTCTGGAGCTGAATCCTGTGCGGCACCTTGTGGATTCTCTACCTGCATGAACGTGGCCTCAGTTCCAGCCCAGGGCCGCCTCTTCCTGCCTGACATTTCATGTCCTTCTACAGAAATTCGGCTGAGCAGGGCCTCAGCTACAACTTCACTCACCTGGATGGGTACCTGGACCTTCTCAGGGAGAACCAGCTCCTCCCGGGTAAGTGGATGGCCCAGCCTCTGCCTAGAAGGTGCCCTCTCCCCATGACTGGGCCCCCTGGGTCCTCAACGGTTGCTCACCCAGGATTGGCCTTGGTGCCGGCCTGGTGGGGCCCCGGCCTTGGGGAAGCATGGGGATTGAGTGAGTGGGTGGGCAGCGGGACAGCCAGCCTCCTCTGCTGCAGGCTTTGAGCTGATGGGCAGCCCCTCTGGACACTTCACCGACTTTGATGACAAACGACAGGTGTTTGAGTGGAAGGAACTGGTCTCCCTCCTGGCCAGGAGATACATTGGTGAGTGAGGAAGGGGGGACCTGAGGGGATGGGGGTGGGTGCCCCTGGGCTGGCTGTCCTCCCGCACTACCTCCTAACATACATTTGTCATGAACTTGATGGGGGAGGGAGGCCAGGTGGAGGGGCCAGGGCAGACTCACATGAATCAAACAGCCCAGACATCCAAACCCCTAACCGTGGGTGCCCCTGCCTGGGGGTGGGGATGGGCATCCTCCTGCCCCAGGGGAGGGACCCACGTGCAACAGCAGGGACACTCTGCAGGTAGGTACGGACTGGCTCAGGTTTCCAAGTGGAACTTCGAGACGTGGAACGAGCCCGACCACCACGACTTTGACAACGTGTCCATGACTATGCAAGGTGGGCGAGGCCTCCTGGGTCCTCTGAGCTGGGGGCAGGGCCTCCCTGGTCCTGGGCGCTGAGGGGGCGGGGCCTCCCTGGTCCTGGGTGCTGAGGGGGCGGGGCCTCCCTGGTCCTGGGTGCTGAGGGGGCGGGGCCTCCCGGGTCCTGCAGCTGAGGGACGGGGCCTCCCTGGTCCTGGGCGCTGAGGGGGCGGGGCCTCCCTGGTCCTGGGTGCTGAGGGGGCGGGGCCTCCCTGGTCCTGGGTGCTGAGGGGGCGGGGCCTCCCGGGTCCTGCAGCTGAGGGACGGGGCCTCCCTGGTCCTGGGCGCTGAGGGGGCGGGGCCTCCCTGGTCTGGGTGCTGAGGGGATGGGGCCTCCCGGGTCCTGCAGCTGAGGGCCCTGGCTCCTCAGGTGCAAGGACGTGGAATCCCTGACCCCTTCTCCAGGCTTCTTCAACTACTATGACGCCTGCTCCGAGGGGCTGCGCGAGGCCAGCCCCGCCTTGCGCCTGGGCGGCCCTGGGGACGCCTTCCACGCGCCGCCGCGCTCCCCGCTGAGCTGGGGCCTCCTGGAGCACTGTCACCACGGCACCAACTTCTTCACGGGGGAGGTGGGCGTGCGGCTGGACTACATCGCCCTCCACAGGAAGGTAGGGCCCAGGACCCCGCGGGCCCTCGGGGCGGCCTCGGGTGGACACTGTTCGCGCTGAGGCCGCGCTGCCGACCGCAGGGCGCGGGCAGCTCCGTCTACATCCTGGAGCAGGAGCAGGAGGTGCTGCGGCAGATACAGCAGCGCTTCCCCAAGTTCGCCGACACCCCCGTTTACAACGACGAGGCGGACCCGCTGGTGGGCTGGTCGCTGCCGCAGGCGTGGAGGGCCGACGTGACCTACGCGGCCATGGTGGTGAAGGTGGGGCTCCCCCCAGGGGC